AACCTTTTTGGGGGGAGAGGGGGGGGGGGTTGTGAAACGCTGTAGCAATGCGTAGTTCGCCAAGAGAGCAATGCTAATTTTGAGGGTCTAAACATGCATGAAAACTCATGAAACACATATTGGGCCTGGCAAAATCATCAATATTTCATTAGTTTATTGTGAAAATTTTGAAAAATAGCTCAATAGCATACCCTAGAAAGCAGCCTCGGTTGTAAGTTTCACCTAGATGTATGAAAATTTGGTTGTGTCTGGAACAGTTCAAGACCTACAAAAGTTCTGTTGGAACCAGATGCTGAATCTTACAAGAAGCCATTTTGAATTGACTTTATAAATCAGCATCACCTTGACTGGAAAAGTGCTGTAACTGAACCCACATGATCATATCCTCTTAAGATTTCTCGCATTTGATGACACTCAAGTTATGAAGACATACTCAAACTTATTTTTCATCGTAATTGTTGTGCTACCTACCGGCTAAAGGAAATATGTTTTATTTTTTTTTTTTTCTCCCAGCAGGCAAACAAGATTTACCTCATATTTTCTCAGAAGAATATTTCGGCCTTCATGATGTTGCAACATGAAGGTTGTGAAATTTTTGAGAAACACTGCTGTCCTGAAAATGCAGTTTACCCTCCCCCAAAAAAACATTGTTATTATAAATATTCGATATATTTTTGACCTCGAGCTCCTTGTCATGGCTCACAACAACCCTAACTATATTCCGGTAACCTTAATGTAGCTGTCATTTTATCGCAGTTTACTTAATTATAATACAAATTTTCTGTTCACAGTTGCTTTCTCTTCCCGGTTCAAGCCAGACTTCTGTGAAAAGTGTGCTGTACACCGGAGCACTTGTTTTGGTCCTCCCGATCCTGCATTTCACATTAGCGATCAGCATTAGCTTCTCCATCATCTCATCAGCAACTCATTCTACACCACAGAGCTGAGTATTAGTTACTTACAGGTGACAGCATTGTGGTGCTCCGCGAGCTCGGCATCTAGTGTTTGTGAGCAGCTGGGAAAGCTAAGCAAGGACTTCCGGGAGTGTGGGTGACAGCATGATGTAGACGTGACCTACTAGCTTGATGGCACCTTTTATGTGTACAAACTTAATGGAGTCCTACTTTGATACGAAGACGGTTGCTGTGGTTGTACAAAAAAATTTCTAGCACCTTGAAGAAATGAGAAAAGAGTATGCTATATTTAGTCAGCTTTCTTTAATATGTTCATGCAAGTGAACAACCGTGTTTGCCAATTAAAATACTGAGATCTGTTGGGTATGATTAATGAACAGCCATTTGCCGTAACAACTCCAATTCTTTTTGTGAACACAGTGGTTCTTAACCTTATGAGAGGTACCGAACCAAATCAGTTCATATGCACATTCATCGAACGCTTCATTACTGAAAAATAAAAATTCAAGAAGTGTTCCTTCAGTTTTGCCCGTGCTAGACTAGAGTTGCTCAACTTGGCATGACAAATGATGCAGATAGGATGCTGAGTCCCATCACGGTCTGTGATGCATGTGAATCCATGTTGTACATATTGGTCTGACCACTTTCTTTTTTTGCTCAACATAGCATGTGTTAAAACATGAAAACAAGAAAAAAAAAAATCGCAGGACGTGCTATCACGACAGTCTCACGTTGACCACTGAGCGAACTAAATTTCCCGCAGCACTGATTGGACAAGCATTGTAATGTGATCATCTGCAGCCAGTGATGACCAAGCAGGCGTGTCATAACAAATTAACATCGGGTGTGTCTTAATCTCCATGGCAGAGTCCGTCGAACCCCTGAGACCGATTCACACAACCCAGGTTAAGAACCGCTGTGTTAACATTCTGTTTAATGTAACATTTAGCTTTTACCCAAAAAAATTCCAGGAGCTATAGATCATATGCTTCTATACCAAACACAAATTCGTACCAATTTGGACAGACCAAGCTGTCAGAAAAATTGGGGTTTCTGTCAATTTTGTCAACTTTACTCATATAGGACAAATGATCATTGTTGGTGGTCCTCTGGTTAGAAGCCTTGCTTCTATGAGTGACAATATGGCAATAATATGCATTTGTGATATCTGTAAAACATTTGATATCCTTCAGTCCATGGGCGTTCACTTACATCCCAAGAAATGTACAGGATGTGAAGAAATCAAGTTCGTGAGCACCACATTTCACAAGCAGCTAATGAAGACTGTACACATTTGTAGACATTGTTACAATGTATGCATCACAAACGACTATTCTGTGAAATCCTTTCAGCACACATTCTGATGTTCTGCTGTTAGGCAGGCACTAACTAATTGATACTACCAGCAAAAATGAAGACTTATTTTCTTGAAAGTATCCATCATTTTCTCTCGTCTGTTTTTAATTGCCCGGTTTGCCAATAAGGCAACCGTGTATTGAGGGCAGCAATTGATAGATGACTGGACTAACAATGCCTCTTACTCGCCGTTATAGGAAGAAATGAAGCTACCGGTGACGATCTTCCATTACCATGTATAAGTCCAAGAGTAATGGCTGCGAGCAAGGTCACAGGGTAATCATGGACTGAATTTCCAGTAAATAAGGACGTTCTCTATTCAAGTCGAACTGACTCAGCTCTTTACCTTTGACCATGAAGTAAAGGAAGGCTCTCGATCTGGGGAGCCCATTACGTCGATTGCGTTCGACCAGTAGATCAAGGACTGGTCCCAAGTCGATCCGAGGGGTGTAGAGGGGGAGAAAAAAAACAACATTTGTGTCTCTGTGCATGTTAGTAATATATTTTTTGTGTTAATGCACACTGCACCCTAATCATTCTATCAGTCTCACTTTCACAAAAAGTATTTAAAAAATAAAATAAAGCAGGTAATCCTTAACCTACGGTGACGTATCACTGCGTCACCGGAGGTTGTTAGCGCTCAGCAGTCTGCAGTTGCAGTTTGTGATCAGAGTTGTTGCGTTATATCTTTTATCGTTATCATTATTCTCATTTAGAGTTTGTTTTGTACAATTCACCGCGGGGACGGGCAAAGAATGGGAATCTGGAGGGCCGAGAGAAGCATTTTAAAACGGTACGCGTTCGCTACGATCGTTAACAGGCTGCCCAAGTGCGTTGCATGCCTCAGCGTCAGGCTATTGCTGCTAATCGTGGCATGTGTGTGCACGTGCGTGCGTGCGTGCGTGCGTATGCACGCGTGCGCTGTAATGGGTCGATCGCGGGAGGTTGGTTGATCGAAAGTAGATCTTCGGTCTAAAAGATTTGGGCACCCCTGCTCTAGATACATATTTAAATTAATAATGAGAGTCCATCCTTCACATTCCAGACCCCCCAAAAAGAATAAATTAATTAATCGAAAATAAAATTACATTAAAACTGCAACCAAATCATTTTTTAGGGCGTCAGGGTGGCTTGAGATCATTTTAGGCCTAATAACACCACTACTTGACACAAATAGACTGTCCATGTATTAATGTAGGAGATCGGAATGGATGTATTCTGTTATGAACAAATGAAAACCTAGAATATATGCCATTTGCCTCATGTGTCTAAAGTAGTCATTTTTGTTGGCCTCATGAAGTGTAATTAAACTTTTGACTAATTTTGGCCTTATTAAACCACACTGTCACCAGCTGTTAGTTGACTCAATTGATCAACCACTCACTAATTGATCTGGACAGGCACTTTTCCCACTCATGTGCAGCTCGCTTTTCACTGAACATTACGTGGCAACCATGTAGCCGTAATTGAATGCGAGTTTTGTGATTACCGCCACAAAAAGAAAAGAAAATGAAGAAGGGGAGGAGGATAGAGGAGGAGGTTGCCTCATTAATTGCTCTGGCCGGCAGGCAGGCGACAGGCGCCGGGTCATGGACAAAGGGCTGTCTGCAGCTCTTTTAGCTCCCACTGTTGAAACCTCTACAACGCACACACACACACACACACAGTTGCCACTTTGTCCCGCTGCGAGAACCAACCTCGAAAGTTACTTCACATGGGCAGGAGCAATTTCAGTTATCAGCAATTAAAATTGACCCAATAGCTATATTGTGTAACAGTAATTGTTCCTGTGTGTTTAGCTGCTATATTGTGTGTGAAATTCACTTTTGGTTAGGTGACAAGACAAAACAAAAAAAAAACGAAAGACCCTGATCTACCCTATATGTAAAAGCACCTTGATATATATCTATCTATCTATCTATATCTATATCTATCTATATATATATATATATATGTGTGTGTGTGTGTGTGTATATATATGTTATGAATTGGTGCTCTATAAACTCCATTGACTTTTGACTGTTGCTGTAGTTGAGCTCAGTGTCTTAACTCCATCCATTCTATGAGCCCTTATCTTCACAATATAGAAAAGGAAGACATTGAGAGGTTAAGTTAACTGGTAACTCTCTATAGATACATGTGGTTCAAATAAATATTGAAAAAGAGACGCCACTCTCTTGAACAAAGGCACGGCAACTTTTTCCAATCATATGGGCAGCAGGGGGCGCCCCTGTGCCACGATTGTTCGTGTGTAAACTGGGTTATTATAGTTGACGTGTCTCGGTTTTATTCTCGCCAGATGAAGTAAATATCATTACGAATAATTTCACACACGTTAACAACACAGCATTTTTATTAAAAATTGTGAGACAATCAGAAAAAAAATGGACAACCAGGGTGAGCAAAAACATTTAAATATATCCATTAACAGACGCACCTTTAAATAAGGAATTGTTTTGATCATCAATCGCCTGACTGGAGTGAAGTAACCTGAGGTGTTTTAAATCACATGAACCTTTCTCTCCTTCCCCGAAAAATATCGCTGGATATAGTATTGACCAAATATGGCATGCGTGCCCCATAATCAGCGAGTCCTCATAACACACATTTTAAATTGCTCAACAGGCTTCATATAATGGAGTGTGGTTGAATAGCAAAGTTTTATATTCAAAATATATACACACTAGTACACAGACTTCAATAAATTAATACCAATTGCATATTATTGAATCTTAGTTATTTACAGATTTATTTACTTTTACATCACATAAATAGATCAGAAAACCCTTTTCTCTTGAATACAAATTGCCCTTGAAAACAGTTAAAGGCCCGTGATCTCGAGCTGGACACTTGTTGTCGTTTTTGTTTGTTTCTTTTGTTGTTGTTTCGTTTTATATGTGGCCAAACCAAATCCAACGACCCAAATACCGTGTAATGTTCAAGTATTTGGAGCTGCCTGTCAGGAAGATTCAGTTTGGGGACAGAAATTGGGAGGATATGGTTTGGTATAAGCTTTCCATTTCAATATCAGAGGTTGATGGGTTGGCTTCTTACAAATGTAGAATTGTTCCAAAAGCAATTATCAGTCAAACCATCACCCATGTTTTTTGTTGTGTGCTGCAAATAACAGAATAATCCTCAGTCTGCAAGCCAAGACATCCCAAACTGAGTGGGGTATCACTTTGGAGAATTTTCTGCTAGAGATGGCTCCCTCTGGCTTTCCAGGCCACTCACAAGTCTCTGGATATTCTGTAGTTCATTCAGAGAGTCTTTCGTTTTGGGGGATGTGCCCCTCCCGCAAGATCCCCCATTCTTGTTGTGGCTGTGGTTTTCTAGGGCTGGGCTGGTCTCCCGACTGCACGGTTTGGATGATTCAGAGCTTGGATTGAGGTTACATTGTAGGTTGGTTGTGAGTAGGCTGGAGCTCTGAGACAAAGACAATGGGGGCTGGTAGGGGTTGAAGCGGAGCCGTGGTCGAGATGTGGCGAGAAAAGGGTTTCTGGAGAGTGGGCTGGAGGTGCTCGTTGCTGGGAGGGCGGAAGCTGCAGCTGCAGCTGCTGCCATGTAGGTGTAGGGGTAGGGAAAGAGACCCCCAAACTGAGGCATGGGGATGCCCTGTAATACAATCGGTAAAAGTGGATATTTATTTTTCAACTACACATTCGAGTCAATAGCGCAAATAATTACAGGTATGTTTGTGTGTGTGTGTGTGTGTGTGTGTGTGTGTGTGTGTGTGTGTGTGTGTGTGTGTGTGTGTTTATTTCAAACACTTGTTGAAGGAAATGAGTATGTGATTGTTAAAATAATAATAATAATAATAATAATAATAATAATAATAATAACACCTTTACTAAACTGTAGTCCTACAGAGTTCTGATTCATTTTCACATTTATTTGATGACTGTACTCATTCACAAATTAGATTTGTGTGACAAGCATTTGCCATGCAATATTGTGTCATGCTACTTTATTTTAAAAAGTACATTTTTGAGAAGTGACAAACGTATCCCCTAATAATAGCAAGTCAGTGTGTTGTTATGAGTAGGGATAAAGTAAAGCATCTCACAGTTATAGCCTTGGAGCAGATATAAAAAAAAACCTAATGGTGCAGGTGTTTAAGTGTGCAATATCATTTGGTTGGTCTACCTTACCTGAGAAGCAAGCATATGCTGAGACAAATGGAAGGGGAAGGCATTGGTGGTTCCTCCTGTCCCTTGAGAAGAGAGGTTGCTATTTTCCAAACCACTTGCTCCAGATACAGAGGCCAGTAAATGCCCCATTCCCATAGCGGAAAGGGCTCCAGGGGTCATGGCAAACTGCCCGGGGTGAAACAAAAGCGGTGATCCGGTGTTTAGAGGGTTAAAGAACTGTTGGCTGTGTAGGCCAGACAGTGCCAGGCTTTGTAAATGACCTGGGTTGAAGTGTGGAGGGCTTTCGGTCTGGAGCATGAGTGGGGAGAAGGTGTCCTTAATAGCACTGATGCTCCCAGCCTCAGCGTCTTTTATCAACATATCTGCGATGTCCTTCCGATGCCTGCTTTCGGCTTTGTCTTTCACCAGGCTCCTTACATTTAAAATGGGGTCATCTTTCTTGTCCATATCAGGCCTTTCTCTGATCTGCTCCTCACATCGAGAACTATAGGGGGACACAGGTTCAGTCCCGGGGCTGTTGGAGCTTGTGCAGCGCTCGCCATGATTTTCAAGTTCCTGCTCACTGTCACTGCATGCTTTCTCATCTGAAACAACAAACGGGCAACAACCACTGAGAAGGTGAATGTGATACGCACAGTAAATTTCCAAACACAGTCACCATAGTGATTTCTGCAATATGTTTGTAGGAATCGTCTGTTATTCATTTTTCATTTGTTCATAGAAAAGTTCTATTGGATTTATGAAAGTAGCGGTGAAGCCACATGTTCAGTGTAATTGGCCTCCAAGTTGACGAAGGGCACTTTCTTCTTAAAAAGTGCAAAAGTGGGACTAATTTATGAATGAGGTCATGTCGAGAGGTTAACGGTACAGAAACATTTTGGTAATTGACATGAAAACTGAGAAACGTGCTTCAACATATCTTTATTACCTCTGTAATGACGTAATATATTCATTTTTTCATTTGATATTATTCTAGATGTGTTGCTTGAAGGGGTCATTTAATTATTTTGGTAATATTATAGGCACCATTGTTATCTTTGTGACTTACCACACTGATTTTGTTAAATGTTTTGACTTCAAATTCAATTACATGGATTTATTTACATTGTTATCAGCGATAACACATGCAGCCTTAAACTGTTACAGTGCTTAACTTTCAAAAGTATCACACAACACCGTCATCACCAATATATTGCAAGAACAAGAGGTAAAGTAAATTCCTTAATAAAATAAGCAACTCATCACCTTGGCCAGGCCTGTTGAATCGCTGCGGGCTTGTGCCCGCTCCAATTGGGGAATGGATGGCGTCACGAGCAGTCGGAGTTTCGCTTGATGCGTCTGAGTCCAAGCCATCCTTGCCCTGGTCCTCAAACATTCGCAGTGATGGCATAGTTAGTTGTTTCCTGTCAAATATGCAAAATGATAAGAATGAGAGTACCAATAATAATAATAATAGTAATAATAATATAGTAATAATAATAATTTTAAATCACCTTTTCTCCCGTCTTCCGTTCCCAGTGTCTCTAAATCCTTTGGCAAATGGATTGTTGTCAATCTTAAGTTGTGTTATCTGTCAGTGACAAGAGCAACGAGGATGAAAAAAAAGTATTCTTCGCACTTTTGGATTTCAATGCAGTCCATGTATTACGATAGTACTGCAACGTATTAATGTCTTGGTAATTTATTTCGATTGAAATAGAGACCCCGACGTGTTTGACAGGCCAGGACTTAGATTTGCATTTTTAATGAAAGCTGCTGTTCTCATCGGGCCTCTGATTTAAATTCGCTCGCAAAAAAAAAAAAAAACAACTCGGTAGGCTCCGTTACTCTGTAGGGCAAAGAAAACACCCCGCATCCAGAAGCCGCAATGCTCCAACAGATGACTGTAATATAAATGATTAATTTTGCTGCTTGGTTTACGCATACCGTAAAGTATTCCAATCATTAAAATTCTGGTGTCGGCGTTGACCTGATTTGCTCCAAGATGTTTCTTGAACAAAGCATTTACGGCGTTTGCTACTTCAGCAGGGTAATTTGTTTTTCTTGTCTTCGTCAGCTACATGGTGATCAGTCCTCGAAAATGGCCTGATAGTCGATTTTGATTCCTTGAAATAATCTTTAAATAAAGGCCCTCCCAAATGGGGCTACCAATGTCACCGTACACAAGTCCAATGTGCGTTTGCGAAGTGAAATTGTTACAATAAAATCATAAAACTAATTTTAATCGATGACTGAATTTTCAAACGTCACAATATATCTGGGCGGCACGGTGAAGGTCTGAGACGTCACGTGTTCGAATCCGTGTCCGTGTGGAGTTTGCACGCTCTCCCCGTGCCAGCGTGGATTTTCTCCGGTACTCCGGTTTTCTCCCGCATTACAAGAACATACATGATAGGTCTATGAACACTTTAAATTGCCCATAAGTGTGGTTGTGACTGGTTGTTCGTCGATGTGCGCCCTGCGATTGGCAGGGAACCAGTTCTGGGTGTACCCTACCTGCTCGAAGACAGCAAGGAAAGGTTCTAGCACCTACCTCCACAACCCTCGTGAGGAAAAGCGGTTTGACAATGAATGGTTATATCTTATCTGGTTTTGACAACGGGTCATTTTTGAGGAGCTGGAAGTGTTGCTATATGAACAAATAAGATATAATACCCAACAATATCAAGCCACCGATATTGATTTAATGATATAAGACCATGGACAACAATGTATGGTGTAATGTTAGGGAAAAAGGGGCGAACAGATATCAATAGAGGCACCCGAATTTGCAGAATAACTCACCTTGTCGTTTTGATATGCTGTCACAGCCACAAACTCGGTCTCCGGAAAGACGTACGTCCTAAATGTGCTGTAAGGGAGCTTCAGTATGTCGTTAGCCCGCACGATGTGGAATCTGGGCTGGTACTTGTGCATTGAATTTAGGATGGTCTGCGCAATAACAGTAAAAAAACAACACAAAAACAACAAAAGACACAAAC